GACGGAAACCGGCTCTCGTGCGAAGGGCCGCGCGAACCGCGACCGGACCACCGTTGACGGAATCCGGCGGCGTGGCGCCGAACAGTGGCCGTCAAGCTCGTGCTCGCCACACCCCGCTACCCCGCGACCGCTAAACGTGTCGCGCCTTTGACCGGCGAACGGGGGTAGGGGATCGAAAAGCTCTTTCGGCACCACCGACACTGCTTTATGCTTTAGGTACGCACCGACGACCCTTTATCGATTGCATTTTTGCCCCCGGCGGGGGATACGTTCCGTGCGTGCGCGCGCAAGATGACAGAGAGGGATAGTCGGCGAGAGAGCTTTTGCTGCATGCAAGGGAATAGTGACAGACTGAGAGAGAGAACGAACTTTTGCGTGCGCGCCTGTGTGTTTATCGACGGCGCGGAAAAGACTTGTCCCGCGCGCGCACGTAAAACATACGCCCACCGAATAACAACAATAACAAAAAAAAAACAAAAAAAAAATTAAAAAATGATTAAATTCATGTACAAAGCGCGCGCGCATGATTCACGCCAAATCTCTCGCTTATCAGACATATTATAATAAACGCCTTTGAAGCACACGCATAACGCTACGCGAGTACATTTCACGAGTTACATAACTAAGTTCATCTCAAAAGATTAACCCGTTCTATTATCACTGGTTATAACAATTGTCCTTTTGCAATTACATTTAGTTTTTAATACAATTTTGTTCGTACATTTTTGATGAAGAGAAAAAAAAAACATTTTATTTTTAATTATCTTTCAAACTTCCAGATACCGGAAGAATTTGGTGAGGGACGAGTCTGGATCGTACGAACTAACCTCCAGGACACGAGCCTGAATTTACTACTTATTGCGTGTACGAAACGTATGATTTACAGACGCGTAGCAAAAAACACGAAAAAAAAAACACATGTTCGTCAAACGTATACAGCCGTTAAATTGGATTTGCACAAGTGTCCCCGCGGGGCAAGCGGTTTCCACGCTCCGTTACGATACCACTATTATTGTTATATTACACGTTCGGCAAAACTGCAGTTATGTCTTTATTTTTTTTTCTTCTTAAATCTATACACGTATATACAACGCGAGTTTTTCGGATCACGCGCGTTTCCTCTCCCGCTGCACACTTTCGTCACACGGTGCATTTAATACCAGCGAGACTGTACAGTAATAAAGTGTAGGTACAGTTAACGCGACAAACTGAAAAATATCGAAAAAAAAATAACGTTCGTTCGTCCGCAAAAATATCAAAAACATCCGTGTCGCGCTGAAAATTTACAACAAAAGAACCCGGAAAAACATGCCCGTAATGAAATGAGTATTGTACACGATGAAAATTGTTGTCATAATAATTTCGTTTGCCACTCGATAATTTCTTATATACAACGTAATACAAACTACTGCGACAGCCGACAAATACACTGTCTCGACCGGGTACAACACGAATTAATAAATCGGTTACGCGTCCGCGATCTCGTGATACGTCAAATAAAGTACATAGGCAGTACCATTCAATGCCTTAACTGGAGGTGTCCAGGGGTCTGGACCCCCCCCCCCGAAATTTTTTTCCAGTTACGGCCTTGGTACCATTTATATCATGGGTTTTAAAAATCGAACAACTGAGGTCAATCGAGTAATTCAACTATGTGTATATAAGGTAAATCTTTACGGTCAACTGTCGTCGCAACGGTAATATGCATGTATGCACGTAGGTACTCGCTCGGTGTCTGATCTGATGTAAAGTTCATACTGGGCCGCGTTTGGTGGAGGTTTTGAGAATTGCATTTTTCACCAGCCACTAATGTACCGACACGTCACATCTCTTTATTTAAAAGATTTGAGAATTGTTTTTTATTTATCGACTCGTGCTTACATTTCACATAAGCAAAATTCAAATTAAGAGCTACCGGGGAAAAAATAATATTCAATATTCCTAAACTGTTTAGTATTGCAGTTTCAAAAATTCAGAACTCAAAAAAATAAGAGCTGAAATACGAAATAATTAAAAAAAAAAAATTACTAATATTCAACCCATTTTTGATAAAATTAATAAAAAAAAAAATTTAATTTACTTTTTAAAATGAAAATATGATATCAGACGATTATCAGATTTTTAAATTTTTTTGACTGTTATCATTTTTTGCCATAGCCTCCTACGAGATAATGTTGTGAGGTATCAAGTGACGATTCGAATCAAAAAACTCGCAAAAAATCAGTTTTACTGACTAATGAATACAAGAAGAACTACAAGGCAAGAAGAATCAAAGCCAATTTTTTTCTATTAAATCGAACAAGTCAGAATAATGGTATCAAACATTTTTTAATTTTAATTTAAGCTTGCCAATACGCGTCATATTTGAAAAGTAGACTTCTTCCTTAGCTAACTGTACTCTGCAGAAAGATATGCATATTCCATGGAAAACATTTCTCCACATACACACACACATTTATATTCTTCACAAATATAAATGCATACACATTATGTTAAAACACGTGTTAAAGTTTAAGATGGTAATCGATAGTCAAATAATTGTAATAACTTTCAATAATATACATTCTATATTTCTATATGAATATGTGCATAATAAATTCAGTAATCCGTACATCCGCCCAACGTTCACGTTCAACACATCATACCGATACATTGATATCGTTACGCATCCAACAAGCCATTGTACCAATAAATTAATAATTATTGTAAAAAAAAAAAATGTTAAAAAATTAGTTATTTCAATTTTCGGTATAATACATTATTATGTTTTTTTATTTGTGCGTAATATTTTTTTGAATGTGACGTTAAACACATTTATTGTGTTATAAATTTACACACATCACGACGTGTCAGCACGGTACAAACACTTTGTAGAAATTATAATCCATTCACGTTCCTACTTATTATTTAATATTTACACCACAAAAGGTACAAAGTATACAAACACAAGCTAGTGTCGAAAAAACTATCCATTATTCTTTTGTATGTGAAGCGGATGGACAATGCGAAGAGAAGACACGTAGTTTCTACGTCTTCGATTATATTTGTTTCGAGTTTTGTCTGAATCCGTATACGTATACGCGTTACGTTAGGCATGTGTGCATTATTAATACATAAAAATTCCGTACAGGGATTTAAGTCAGCTGTAGCCCACACTTTTTAGAAATAAAATTAATTTTGGCCACTAGCCACGCCAATGTTTTGTCGTTAACACGTATAAACGCAAAGCGGCTACAGCACAAAGAAACTATACTACGGTCAAATTAGGTGGCGAATAGTTACTCGAAATCCTTAGGCTATACATACTTAGAAATCCAATTACGGCGTAACCTTCTTAATTCTGCTTTCAGTACACTATACTTATGCACAATGTTCTTCTTTAAAATACCATCGCTATAGTTTATTACAGCAATAATATAGCGCATACTTGTTTACTGCTCCTCTATGGTTTGTAATTAATTATGACGATCTGTAAACGACGCATACCATATATTTAATCTTTTCGATATTGAATTACAGCTTTACTAGCTCGTATCAGGTACATTACGGCTATACCTTACCGGCCAAAAGGGGAAATAATAATTGATCAAAAACAAATTTAGATACGTCCTGAAATTGTTTACAACTACAGTTCAGATGCACAGTTATTGTTATTGGCTAATTTAATACAAAGCAAATAATAAATTATAATTCGTTTCAGAATTTAAAATATAATTACATGAAAGGTACTATTATTTGGATATTTATAAATTCGTACACCAACTAAAATTTACAATTTTAGAGTGGAATTAAAATAAATAATTAAAATGGGTTTTTAACATCAACACATAAATCTTTACTACTCTAAGGAGAAGATTTAAAACATTTAGTGATATTTTAAATTACAATTTATTGACAATTTAAATGCTAATAAGAAATCAGTATGCCTTGTTCAAATTACAACATTTTCTTACGTTGACGCTTTAAAATTAATTTATAAGGTATAATTTAAATATAAATTTTTAAATATGTATATATCTCGTATATAAATAGATTAAAAAAAAAATTAATTTTTTTAATATCTTATACTACCCAGTTCCTCTTACATATTTTCTTACACATTCATTTAAATTCTTACATTATAAAATGAAACAATTACTAATTAATAAAACTCGTGGAGAATAATATTTGAGAGAATAAATATATGTCATATACTTATATATTATATTAACACAATAAAATAAAAAATTAATAAGTTATTTTATATACATGTATAAATTTCATAAACAATGAAATCAAAATTAAACATAGGTAACTCGATCTCATAGATATAATATTCATTTATTTAAATAATTCGAGTGTATTTTACTTTTCTTCGGATTTGAGTAAAACTAGTTTTTAAGGCAATAAAATATTAAATTTGATATAATACACGTAAATAAAACTAGTTGTAATCGTTTGTATGTAATTATTTAATAGTTTTAGACCGAAATTAACCGCACAATGACCACTCGTAAATTTTCTTAATCATGTAATCACACTAAGATTTAAGACTTTTGTTTTCTTTTGTTAGTTCCGACAATTTTAACCAATTATAGTTTAAAGGTTAGAAAAAAAAATTATAATTATAATTTCTTTAAGATTCGGCCTTATAGAACTAAAGCTCATAACATATATTTTTTAAATACTACATTTGATAACAATAAGCGTTAATTTCTTAGATTACAATTACTATATTTTATTTATTCGGATTGAAATGATTTTATCGTTATAAGAATTTAATTTAGTATTTAATAGTAAAATAAAATTAATTAAAAACTAATTGTTAATGTTAGACTCATGTATATTTTTGTATCAACTATAAAATATTTAAT